TCCCGGGAGCGCGGTGTGTCAGCGGGTTCCGCGTCTTGGCCGCCTCCAGCTTTGTTTCTTCAGAAACCGCTGCCGGAGTGCCTGGTTGAGGACGAGGGAGCAGTTCTCCGTTTCTGAGTTATTTAACTTATTCCGTCTGCCGCGTTTCTTTTAAGCCTTGCTTAAATTGTGGTGTTATGTGTTAGCTGTGAGTGAAATAATGTGCTCGAGCACGTCGCGCACTGGATGCCGAAGCGGCGGATGTGTACTGAGGTTTGTGCGATCGTGTCTCTGGTTTTTGTTTCCAGCCATGACCATGCAGTTCATCAGTCACCGGTTTCCGGAGGATCACGATCCCACAATTGGTAAGAAAAATCTCTCTTTGCTGTTCGCTGCCTGTCATGGCAGGTTAAGCTGTTGTGGAGTCCATTGCTTTAAAGCACTCAATTAAAAGCTGTAAATTTGGCTGTAAACTGAGACCCAAGTCGTTTAGATGACTGATGTAAAGATATTGGCAACCTGGTCTAGTCTGAGGCATCCCTGCCCATGGCAGGGGGTTGGAACTCGATGATCTTTAAGGTCCTTTCCAACCTAAACCATTCTATGATTCTATGATATTAAGAGTTTTGAGACTGCTGTGAGGACTGGGATACATATCCTGAGGTTGAGATCTTTAATGGTTTTCCTATCACGCGTATTCAGGCTGTGTGCTATCTGTATTTGTTTGTATGTTGGCAGACAAGGATGAAAAACTGCTGATAAGCGATTATTAGTTGTCTGTTCAAAAAAGCTGGTCTACACGCTATAGATCAGCTCTCTGCTATTAGTTTGTCTGGCCAAATTGTGTTCTGTGTTTTAGAAATTGGGAGGGATGAAAGAACTTAATGACTTACTATATTGCTATATAACTTTTGCAGCATCTGTATAAGAGAATCCTCAACCAACAATTACACTGCCAAAGGAAAACTGGGAAAACCAGCCAGCTTCTTGTTGAAAGCGGACTGTTGGAGTGTGGGAGTGCTGACTTAGAGGGAGAGAATATTTATTGTCTCACTTCTAAGAAAATGGCAGTTGGTGGTGGCCCATTCTTCCCTTGAATCACGGGTATTTTCTGGCTTTGAGAAAAATGTAATGTTTTTACTCCATGCTTTCCACCAAGGTGTCGAAAATGAATGTATAGGTTGTGGTCGCGCCTGTCAGAAGTAGCATGTACGATAGCATGATTTTAGCAAACAGTTGGGACAATACTAAATCACACCAGAACAATTAAAAATTTAATTTATTCTTAAACAAAACTCAGACTAATGTAGTATACTAATATTACCAGATTATGTTATTCTAGTGTAACGTTCTCTTTGTGAATTGATGACTAATGAGTATTGCAATTGTATTCCAATCTTGTTCTTTCCAATGTGCCATGAATTCACAGAGGATGCTTATAAAATACGGATACGTATTGATGATGAACCTGCCAATCTGGATATCTTGGACACAGCAGGACAGGTATGTGAGTAATAGTAAGTGAATTGGGAGGATGTTAAGGAGCCTGTAATGGTCAGGCGTAGAGACAGAAATCCTGTAAAAGCGTGCCTCTCTTTTCTGCCAAATTGGTTTCTGAGCTCTTTTATTTCTTCTGAGTATCGTTGCTTATAGCATCTGTATCATACCATTTACATTTAGGCAGCTTAGATGGTATTCTGGTTTCATGCACTGCTTTCTCTGTTCATGATCAACAAGCAGTACGTATTGGCCGATAAATGACATATTGGTATGATTTCTATGGCGAGGGAAAGTTGGTGTTAATCCCAAACATATGTAGTATGTAACAGGATGAGAAGATAGATGACTGGCTTGTTTACAGAGTTCCTATGCAGCTGGTTTTGGAATGCATATTGTGTTTCCCATTCTGAGCAGATTAGAAAGTGATTGTGTTTGTGCAATTGAAATGTAATTGTCTGTTTCTAGGCAGAATTTACGGCCATGAGAGACCAGTACATGAGAGCTGGCGAGGGATTTATCATCTGTTATTCAATCACAGACCGGCGCAGTTTCCATGAAGTTCGTGAGTTCAAACAGCTAATCTATCGTGTTCGACGCACTGATGACACTCCTGTGGTCCTGGTGGGAAATAAATCTGATCTGACACAGCTCCGGCAGGTAAATGGCACGAAAGAGGCTTGCAATGACAAGCTATTTCTTTTGTAAAATGCGGTAATACAAGAGGTTGTACTCCCTTTCTTAATTTTTTTGCATTGTTACTGTATAATAAGTTGAACAGTAGGGAAGTATTGGTTTAACCCACAATATGTTGAGTACCCAAATGCGTATAGCCATCACAAAAGTAGGGTCTTCAAGTTGATGCTTTTGCTGTCAGCTGGTCTTGGGCTTTCGTTTTTGGGTTTTTTTTAATTCCTGAGAGGAGATGCTGTTAGTAGAAATTTAGCATTCCATAAGCCACGTGCAGATACTAGTGCGAATTACAGATGCAAGCGTGCTAAGAGTGGACACGAAATAGTGGAGAACTTGCATAAGAATGGACAGAAAGGAAAATTACTTTCAGCTTAAGAAAACAGTGACTACCACCTTATGGGAAAACAGTTTGAAGCAGAACTTCACTCAAAGGAAACTTACTTTGGAAAAGAAGTTCCGGAGGTGCTGTTTGTATACCTGGAATTAAATGAATTTTCAGTGTGTGCTGTAGCAGGAAAATGATGGTAGTTACGGTAGAACACCTATGCTAAGAGACGGAAAGTACCGGAAGAGCAGTGGGTGTTGCTCTTCTATGGCCTCCGTGAGACTGGGGTTTTTGTTGTTGTTCTTTTGGGCATTTTTTGGAAAGGTTTTGCTTGGTTCTGGGCAGTAGTTTGACGAACATAATGGATTTTGACCAGGAGAAGCAAATACGCAAACTGACAAACGCTTGGGTTAGGGCTGAGGGCTGCTCATGCTGGGCAGCTTCTAGATTCTGCACCAAGCAAAGAACATCCTTTCAGAGGACTTTGTTGTTGCATGAATGTGTAGCACTGCTAGAGAAGCAATGAGTGAAAGACACACAGTTTTGTAGAGAAAGATTTAGAGGTGAGTGGAAACGAGCTGTTCTAGAACTCGGAGGGTGCATGCACAGTTACAGAGCAAGCAGAACAAGAAGAACAAGAAATGGTAAAGAAACTTTCTGGTTTTGTCTTTCTTGACAAGTGTGAACTTTTTATTTTTCAGGTCTCCAAAGAAGAAGGCTCTGCTTTAGCACGAGAATTCAACTGCCCTTTTTTTGAAACTTCAGCTGCATACCGTTATTATATTGATGATGTATTTCATGCTCTTGTGCGAGAAATCCGCAGGAAAGAAAAAGAAGCAGTAATGGCAATGGAAAGGAAATCAAAACCTAAAAGCAGCGTGTGGAAAAGACTGAAGTCACCATTTAGAAGGAAGAAGGATTCAGTCACTTGAACAGAGAGAATTCCTCTGCAAAATAAAACAAAACCTGTGAACAGCCATTTGTAACCAAAGTGGTTTAGTGACAACATTTTGACAGCATGTTTTAAACCTGTTGGGACTTTTATGAGGGAATGCTTAACTCTTATGGATTATTTTTGTTTAGAATGATATTCCCTTAATTTTGGATATTTAACTTATGAGACAGTAACAGTTGTACTTTTGTTGTCATTTTTTTAGTGGATCCAGCAGATGTTCCTCCTATGTCGTTGGTTACAAATGCTGATAGGTTTATGTCCCTGCACTTTCCAATGTTTGTTTTCAGTCACTGCGTACTGGAAGCTGAATTGTGTAAAATATTGCTGAAGTTCTACCCAACCTAACTTAATTATTTTTTTTCCCTAGTTGTTTGCACAAGAAAATTTCGCTGCTCTCTGGAACAGTAACCCACATCACGAGAAGCGGCTTGTCGAGGTCGTGCTGAAAAGTAGTTTACAAAGTGCGTGTCGTGACTAGCAGCCTTGGCTGCGTACAGATGTTACCGAACAGAGCTGTGCTAGAGTTCTTGTGTTCTCATTGAATAGATTCTTTCCAGCAAAAGTAGTGTGGAATACTTGTACAAGTTTATCTAAATTATCAGTTAATCAGCAGTGTTGTAGGTGGGATTTTAAACAAGTCAGAAAAAGCAAATTCTGGTTCCTATGGCAGCTGTAACTTGGCAACAGTGCACCAATATGTAGCATTTTCCTCCTGTATATAGCATTTACTGTGTTGCCACAGCATGTGTAATGTAATGATGCTGTAGAAAACCACAGCTTTGAATTTTCTGACTTGCTACTTAAAAATCGTAGCTGTAATGGTGCGCTGGCTTATTTATTTACATTCAGTTTTATGTTCTTGTCTTAAAGGAGCCAGTATCTTTGTTAAGTAGAAATCTCTAACATAGCAATTTCAGATTATGGTAACTATTTTGTAGAGAAAATGACTGATGCTGAGGTATCTGGGCCCGGAGTTAACATCCCTGATACTGGGAAGATTCTTCCAGTGCAGTCTTAGAAGCAGAATTGCCAGTGCAGTGGAAGGAGGCGATTACGTGGGCACAGCGACAGTCCTGACAGGTACTCACGTCCCTGCCCTTCCCTCCGCAGGCAGTGCAGGTGCGGGTTTTCTTACGCTCAGTAAAGAACGGTTTGGTTAAGAAAGTGCTGCTGAGACAAACCCTCCATATGTAGAGATGTTCTCTGCTTCCGAGCTGATTTATGCAGTTAGAGAATTTAAATCCAGCAGAGAGAGGGATGTCTGGTGTTCTTTTGGTTTTTAATAATGGAACAAATCGTAGGTAGCTCAGACATGTTTAAAACAAGTTTCTGGAGAACTAAGTGCCTAGAATCCTTGAGTTTAAGAGTGAAAGTGCTTAATAGAGCTAAGTGTTATTAGCTTCTGTTACTCGTTGATCATCTGTGTCAGTAACTGTTAATCTTACTGATCAAAAAATCAGATCTGTAATGCCAGTCTTAGTGTGCTGCATGTGATAGTGCAGTCAAAACTGAAAATTCCTGCGTGAAAGGATTAGGACAAGAAGTGAGGACAGCAAATACATAAACTTCAGCTTTTTTTCTCACTAAACTCCTTATTGCTTAAGATACAACTGGAAATTCTGTGCCTGTTGGTTTTAAGAGTATTTTCTTTGTGTAAGATTTAAAGAAAATGATAACAAGAAATTTGGAGGGGGGGTAATTTTTTTTTTAATTTTGTTTGTGGCTGAGCTAAACATTTAAATTGGTTTCTGCTTCCCACATCCTCCAGTGTTACGCTACTGGCAATTATCACGCGTAGGTTGTTTGAAAAAGGCTGAGAATAATTCAGACTGTTTCAAATTTAAGACCACTTTTACGTTAACTGTATGAGTGGTTGCGTGCGTCTTTTCAGTATTTACTGGGTTAGGACGGAAAGCCCTCCGAATGATTCCTGTTTGGATTCAGTGCTGTCTGTAACTCAGATGAAAACCATCTAGCAGCAAATGTGAGGAGGAGGAGGGGGCAGCAGCTAAGAAGTTGCTCTAAAAGCAGTCGCTGATTCTGTCATCGTGCAGATTGTTTCAGAGCAGCCTTCTGGAAGCGCTGAGCAGGGGCCTGATGGTGATGACGTCTTTTCCCTGTGCTTTTCCTTGATGCAGTAAGTTAACGTAAAACATTTGGCAGCTTCCTACATTCAAATTTTTCAGATAATCCGTGAAGGTAACTTGTCAGCAGTACTGGAAGCTGTATGTGACTATTCTTACCTTTAAATAACAGATGTCTGTGCCTTACATGATGCCTTCGATGCCACTTCAGTGTTTACTAATGCCTTTGGTGAGCCTGTTGCTTATAGAATTATTACATCGGAACAGCAGCAAGCACTTTTTTTACAGTGTTATTCAAAAAGAGTTTTATTTTTGTCATGTATGAATTTGTACACAGAATTATTGTTTTATTTGACACAATATATAATTTTTAATACAAACGTTTGCATTTGATGTTTTCATCTGTGGTGTCTGGCGGGATGGGCAGAAGGCCATACTCATACTGAAAATTCCTAAGTATGTAAGTACTGTGGTAGCATCTAGAGATGAATTAGGGGAAAACCTCTAATTATCTTGTTAGAAGCAGATGACTAAGAGCGTAGCTTTTAGGCTTCTCCCTAGAAATCCAGGAGCTGCTCAGTGGTGACCCCGTTCTTAAAGGGCGGGAGCGAACCTATGGAATGAAAAAATTCCTGCCACTGCATTCCTACAGTTCTTTCTCCAGCACGATGGTTGAGTGCCATTTATCTGTCATCTAAATAATTACAGGAGTGGGGTTTTATATAAAAGCGTACTGTAATGGAGCCTTTAAATAACACCTGCCTTACGGATCAAAGAAGTGGGTGCCATGCACGCTGGTTGCTGGGAGTGCGTAATGGTGTCACACAAATACGAGAGCAAGAGAGCTTTACAGCGTTTCACCTCCCCGAGGCCGAGCTCAAAGGCGTTTCAGGTTGTAATTGCCGAAATCTGCCCACAAAGAGTGAATCCATCACCGGGAATGAGGAAATCTTAGCGAAGAAGTGTCTTAACACTGTCAGACCGCGTGTGTGTAGTTCAGCAAATTTTGCTGTTTACTCTGTACTAAGAAAATCTTTCCCGTATTCTGTGGTGCTGATACAGATTTACTTTGTGCGATTTCATTATGGGAATGCAGAACTATAATGCCTCCTTGCTGTTAATGAAGGTCAGTCTTTTGCTGAGGTAACAAGAAGTTGTTTACGAAAACGCAAAACTGGTAAAATTTAAGGTACGTGGAGGTTAATTACATGTAACTGAGAAGTGAAAAAAAAACTTCCAAAATTCCCACTGAATTAAAGCAGCAACACTTGTGTCACAAGCCTGGAGGAGCGAATCGTAGAATCACAGAATGGCTCGAATTGGAAGGGACCTTAAAGGCCAGCTCGTTCCACCCCCTGCCCTGGGCAGGGCCACCTCCCCCCAGCCCAGGTTGCTCCAAGCCCCGTCCAACCTGGCCTTGAACACCTCCAGGGATGGGGCAGCCACAGCTTCTCGGGGCAACCTGCCCCAGGGGATCACCACCCGCACAGCCAACAATTTATTCCTCAGGTCTCATCTCAATCTACCGATATTCTCTGCAGAGAACATCTGTGTTGCCAAATAACTCCAACATTGTTGTCATGCAATGACTCTAGAGGAGACCTCTTCCACCTCTTCATAATTAGAAAGTTTGCAGAGAAGTTTTCTAGATGGCTGCCATCCTGAGAACTCCTCGCCCCGGTGCCGGAGCCCTGAGCCCTTCCCTTCATCCCGACGCCGCAACGCTCAGTGTCCCACATTCGCTGTCCCCTGCTGGGAGCGCACAGTTTCTACCGATAGAATTAGCTGAGTACGATCCTTGTGTATTTTATATTGGTATCAGGATCAATATTGGTTCTTTAGTGTTATTAATGTTAATTATTTAGTCTTATTCTATCAAATCTGTTTATATTTCAAGCTTTCCTTGTTTATTCCCTGATCTCCCTTCCCGGGTGGGGAGGGGTCATTGGGTGAGAGAATAATTGTCTGAATGACAATAAATTGTTGTGGGTTCCTCAAACCATAACACAAAGTCAAGGTTATGTAAACTGAATGTTCCCCAAATAATTTTCTCTGTGTTTTTTAGTCTTTTCTGGGTGCAGATGGGTCCAGCCCTCACCCGTCCCAGCTGAGATGAAGGTGTCCTCTCCCCCGTCAGCCCAGAGATGCCCGGTGTCCCTGCGCCTTCGGTGGGGTGGGGGGATGTGACATACTCCCCATGCTCCCGTTTATTTTGGGTACACATCTAGGTTGGGGTTTTTTTTCCAACTGCTGGCTGCTTTTCTTCTGTGCTAATGGGATATCCCTCAGTGGCTACTGAGTCCTTTGAGATGACTAATTTGCAATTCAGGATCAGCCGAATTAATACACTGATGTATGTGAGGCAACAGGTTCTGTGCTGATGTAGGCTAAAAACGGTCCGTCCGGGCCCGGCCATGGTGGGGAGAATGGCAGCGCTCTTGTGCGAGACAGTAAAGGGGACGGTCGGTTTCGTTTCTTTGAGGGTTTGGGTTTTGGGTTGGGTTTTGGTTTTTGTTTGGTTTTTTTTTTTGTGGTGTGTGGTTGTGTTTTTTCTTTTTTCTTGGCATTGCCTTTTCTGCCGCTTCCTTATGTCCTATTTATTTCTTGGGATGTTTTTCCTTTCCTGTCCTGTTTCCTGTTTGGCCCAATAGGGGAATTATCTCCCCAAGGATCATGGACGTTTCTGTAGTACAGAAGCAAAACCGGGAGCTCAGACCGAGCGCTCGCAGACGTCCCGGCAGGTGCTATGGGACAGACCCGCAGTGAGCCGGCACGGCGTTCTGGCGCTGGAGGATCCGAGAGGGACTGGCTCGGATTTAAATAGTTCTTGGTGAAGACTTCTCAGGTTTTAATGGTAACAGTGTTAACGCCAGCACCCGGTGGGCTGTCCAGC